CGTTACCGATCTTACATATTATTACATTTGAATGTCATTTTATTTGTATCGTTTTCAGGGCATATTATGAACTCTAATCAATAAGACAACCTATGAAATAACTATTAAAGAGTGAACTAAATAATATCCTTATAAAAAGAAGCATAGTTTATAATGGGTCGATTTTTCCAACTAATCCGTTCCGATAGATCAAATTTCATAATGTAGTTTAGTTGTTGCGAGGTAAGTTTACATAGTACACGATTCATATTGAGGAATTAAGAGCTTTATTTTATGAAATAAATTTGAAATCTTGGAGTAGGTCTGTGCTAAAAAGATGATTACGGTAATGGCGGGAGCGTGTACGGCAGTTTTTTTTCTTTTTTTACTTAAATAAGTCAAAAGGTAGCAGCTTTCATTTTTTTCAAATTTAAATTATCTGCTAAAAACGGAGCACTTCAAAATGAAATTAAAGAGGCGCTCTTGAAAGTGTACTGCGAAAATCATCTCTAAATGGTCATTTCGATTAGTCTTAACGAGTGAAAAGGAGATTACGGTAAAGAAAACAGCGAAAACGCTTCGATAATGGGTATAAAACTCTGAATACTGTCTAAAGTTTTTAAGATGGTGATTTTAAAAGTAATCGTAAAAATGTTTACAAACGTTTACACTGGCCTGAGTAAGTTGAAAATTATTTTGTGTTGACCTTTAGGACAAACTGTCCTTCCAATCCTAATAGATAACATAAGAACCCACTCAGTAAACCCAAATAAACAAACAAATCCATTGAAAAGGATGCTGTGTATTTTTGAAACCTTAAATTCTAGATATACATAGATTCACATTTTTGTCGACGGTTGTATATTCGAATCTGGACCAGGTTCAACATTTTTACACCAAAATATATTTTTTTAAATACATATTAATACAATTTCAGTGTTATTTTGATTTGTGTAGAAACTCTGATTGTAATATGGTTTTATTTATAGATAGGGTTACATACCATTCCCAATAACTAGAACCAGTTAGCATAAAATGAAATAACACTGACTACCAACCTGATGGCACCTGACCTTGCAGAGAGAGTCACGAGTATAGAGTGACACGTATTAGATGTCCACAACAGTTACGTAAAAAATAATGTTTATAAACAATTTACTGTGCACCGAAGGGCGTTGAATGAATTTTTAACTTCGAGAAACTTAAAGGATTTGTGCAGAAAAAGAAACATATAATTCAATAATTCTGGACATTGAACCAAAAGAGAGCCTCTAGGCACCACTACTACGAGAGGATGGCGATACCAAGGATGAACAGTGGAGTTGGATGCAATATGCATGAGCGGGGTATGCGACCGTGGCAAACCAACATCCGGATTGCTTTCCACCCGGTTCCGTTTCATAATTACTGATTGTTCTCCGTCTTTATCGGAAGAAGTGAGAAGAATGGACTGTCTTTTCGAAATAGTAACGCAATCAGCCTTGAAGTGGATTCGGAACAGTTTTCATGAAAGGAATGGGAGAGTGGTATGATTTTGGCAAGATATGAAGAATGCAGTGGTCCATAAAATCTGATCAAATAAAATCAATATGTATTCACAAAAAGTACATTCAGAATACAACGGCGCTTGGATTTAGATTGTTGAAGTGAGAAATTGGTGATAAAACACTAACACATCTTTATTTTTTGTGAGCAAAGGAAATGTGCCATACAAGGATCTCAAACGACACGGAAAACAAAAATAATATACTTCTGCAAGATTCTTTAACAAAAGTAATTACGTACAAATGTATATAACAATATATATGTATTAAAAAAAAAAAAGCTATGTTTGTTTGTAATTACTTGGAGAATGTTCTTTGATTCAGCAACGTATTAATACAATGCATAATAACATTAATATTGGAAAAGAAAAAAAAAATATGGGCATTACACCCGAAGTAAGATGACCCGTCTTAAGGTGGTAGATGGTAGATTTGCTACATGACGAATTACAGGGTATGCAACCGTCTAGCGCAACAGGATGCTATTATTAACGTTCGTCAAATAGTTTGAATGATATGGAATGAATGGTTCCTGAAGTGTGATGGTCAATGAAGTATTTTTAATAGTTTTGTTATAGATATTGATAACGCACATTGTGATACTGATTTTAACGAAATTAAAAATTACATCTTAATTAAACGGAAAATCGAGATCCTTCAAAACATAAAGAATCGTTCAGAATCGTCAATACAGACAAGAATAGTAGCAGCTCGACCTTGATGGTTTCACACGCATGAAAGTGGTTGATTGTTCTTACACATGCCTAGCCAATGATTAGAAGACCACGTGGTTCTCACAAGCAGCTCTAAGAGCCTCCATAACAAAAGAAGTCCTTTTTCCCAGTGACTTTCATATAATTATGCTCGGAGCGTTCGTACAATAGACGGGAGACTACCGCTCTGATAATGTGCTGTTCCCACATCTGTGGTAGATCTCCCGAGTTGAGAAGAAATGTTGCGAAATGCCACAGTTCCCATGTTGATGACTGCGGACACCATTATGACGTTTCCTTGCAGAAATATTCGGAACAAAACTGTTTTTTTTAATGGAGGTCCTCATCACTAATCTTAATTTCTAAGTACTAATGTCTAAGAACTTTGATTTCAAAATTAACACCTAAACTATTAACATAATAATTCTTCCAATCACTATGAATAGCTTTTGTAATACTTTATTTAAGAGAGGCTTTAGTTAAAGGCTGAATGACCTAATGTTGTAGCATTAACCATAATGCTGTTAATTTCTTTTTATTCTTTTCTGGATAAAAGGAAATGAGAACTTGGCTAGTTAACTTCTTCCAAGCCCAGAAAAATATAGTTATTTGGAATTGTCTGGACTAGAACTATTTTTGCCAATTGGGACACTAGTGGATCCAGGATTTAATTTAATTTTGGGAGAGGCTTCAGCTCGAAAGCTTTTTTTTTTCATAAAAATAACGATAATTGCTTTGGAAAAAAAGAGAGAAACTAACTACCTATATGAAATGGTGTTTAAGTGATTCCTAAAGTCCTTTTAAATGTAATTGCACGAACAATAAAACTTTAAGAGATAATATTTTTATATTTTTTCCATAAAACATGGTTATATTTTATCATTTTGGAGAGGGAGGGGGCTTCAGCCCCAAAGCCTCTCTCTCCCCCCCCTCCTCCCCCCGTAGATCCGCCGGTGAATTGGGGGTAAGCAAATTTTGCTGCCAATTTTTTCGCTCCTCATTTCTTCCCATCCAAAAAGGAAGAAAAAATAATTGTGTTAAAAGTGTTATAATTAATGCTACAAAATTAGATAATTTTATTAACTAAATTAAGGTCAAAACAAATGAAAATATAAAAAATAAAACAATATTATTTAATTTAGCAATACTAACATTTAAATTTTACTTTTCAAACTTTTACTGGTAGTAAAAATGTTTATTTTGCTTGAATTTCCATTGGGAGGTGTCCCTGGCACTATCTTTGTTGTATGTTAAATAATGTCTGCTATATCTCATGTAAAACCACACATAGAAGATTTAATGAAGACAAATAAAAAGCTTGATATTCTTTGTTTTCTTTAAATATTTATTTATCTCTTACTAAATTATTTAGATTTAAAATGATACTAACTGGCTGAACTAATTAAAACACAATAGATGTAGAAATGACTAAAGGTATGTGATCTTAATGCAAATGTCAACATTTAAAAAGGTTGTATGTATTTTATAGTTAATATAATAGTATACACTTAAAAGTGATTTCATTCATATTTGTACTCGGAATCAGGGTAGAAAAAAATTAGTATACTAAGACCTACGAATCTAATGAAATATTTTTAGGAAAAAGTTGATCTAAATATGGTGAATTATAAAAAAGTTTATATCATGTCTAGGATCTACTAATTTAAAGAATGAATACTAAAATAGGACATAACAACCTAATTTAAAATATACTGTTACCTCAAGTTCCTATTGAACTTTAATTGCAGTCGTCCAGGGCCAGCATGCACAAAGGGATACAGTGTTGGTAATATAACACAATTTATATTAATTATATAATTGGTAAAGTACTGAATCAAAACTAAAGGTTAGTAAATAAGTGATCATAAAACCTACAATAATGAAATTTACTAATAAAAACAATACATTATTAAAGATAAAGTTAATTATTCAGGTATATACAACAAATTACTACTTAAAAAGCATTAAGCATCATTAAATATAAGTCCCAAAATCCCGAATACAAATAATTGTTATTTATTAGTGAACAATATACTTATAACACCAACATGTTGTGTTTAATTATCAATTCCACTTCCAGTTAATTATTAACTCTTTTTTTTTAACAATGTTTTAAGCGATTATAGGGCAATGTTTAGGAAAAAAATTAAAAAATGGCATCAGAGAAGTTTGAAATATTATACTTCACACCTGTAATTATTAATAAAGGCAGACCATTGAAAACAAGTAAAAAACAATCAAATGTTATTGAGAAAAATTGATTCTATCCATTTTTTTCTGAAAAGTACTGATACCTAATTGAATTCAGGAGATAAAATCTACAAAGAGAATTATGATATTTGATCTCCTTCATTAAACATTATAGAAAATAATGCTTTCTAAGCTTTTTTATTATTATCTAAAAAGAGTTATATCATGTGAAAGATATTCCCTTTTAAAAACAGTTTGAAGCTGCAAGACTACACACGGACTACATAACAGTTGCAATTGGATAAGGTCTGGCATGAGATTGTAAAAAATCAATCTTACATGTAATAAAAAAGAACAATGGCCTTTAGTGATGTAAACACTAAAAAGTCAGAATGAGGAATATTTTCCAATGATGCAGAAGAAGAATCTTTTTTGTGTATATAATTGAAGTAATTTTATGAGGATTAAGTGTATTTAATAAGCTTATGTACTACTTTATTTCCAAAATTGAAAATAAAGCACCAAAAAAACTTTAGTTATATTTTATGAAGATGAAGAAGAGAATTATGGGTACTTACAATTGAAGGGTGGTAGGTGGACAGTGCGGTGGAAGAGTAGGCTTTGGAAGACTGTCATTTTTCCCAAGTGGCTCTGCATGATGGATACCAGCAACTCGCCTTACAACATCACTAGGTGTTCGCACTAAGTTTGCTTTTCGTGAAGGTGGAGAAATTTTTCCATTGTGAATGGCATTTGCTATTTTTCCATTGACCAGAAGTTTTTGAGTAGAAGTAGTGAACCTCAGAGATTGTCTTTCAGGGGTATTCTTCATGAGCTGTGGTTCACTTGGAACACTTACTGCCCTCAAAAAGTTTTCTCTGATATTTTTATAATTAATTTGCTTTTCATGTCCATTAATATTCATTTGTGCAGAGTATTTTTTGTGAATAGGAGTTTGAGGTCCAGGTTTATTTACCTCATTATTGCTTTCTACCAAAGATAAGTTACTATCTAATGACCTCGGCTGTTCATTATGGCTTCTCTTCTTGTTGGGTAATGGGGGAGAAAGAATACTAGTCCTTACTTGAGCTTCAGGCTGTTTTTTCTCCGAGTATTTTCTCATATCTAAATAATTCTTCTTATCCCATAATTCATTTAATTGATCACAGTAATTTGTTTGCATAGATTCAATCCGATTTTCGACAAACCTTTCATTAAATTTGTCAGCATAGGTAAAACCATTTTTGTTATGCTCGTTTCTCTTAATTTCCATCCCATTTTCGTAAAATCCATCATTACAGGAATCATGAGATTTAGAGTGGAGTAATGAATGCTTATCTGACCTTGTCAGATTATCAAGACTAAGAGAAGCATTCATGGCTCTTTCATAACGCCGTGAAGTGTAACCCTGCTGAACTTCAGGAGGTGGCGGAGGAAGTGGTTCATCAGGATAAGTTTCTGCTTCTGGAGGTGGTGGTGGAGATGGAGGCGGTGGTTCTGGGCTGGCAGGCCTAGGCACTGGATATGGCGGATCAGGCCTACATAGTATGTTAGGACTTGCAGGGCTTGATGGGCTAGGAGGGTGTGGATAAGCAGCTCGCAAGTGAGGCTTTTTGGGTGGCCTTGCAGGAACCCAGTCATCCACACAAATAGATGGGCCAATAATCATTGGGCCTAAAGATGCTGTTGTTAATGATCCACAACTTGAGCTGGAAAAACAAAACAAAATAATAGAATTATTTCAGTCTTGAAAAAATCTGATAATTGTTATTTAATGCATCATCATTCCAAATTCATAATTTTCAGGACATATTTTTGAATATTACATTGATTTCAATCAAATAATAAAACAAAATAACCCAAAAAATTGCATAAGTGGCTTTGGGGCTCAGAAATAAAACTTTACAAGTTCATGCATTGCAATGATCCCTGTGATCATCAAAAATCATGATTTTCTAGTTATGGTGTTGTTGCATTAGATAAGAATATAAATTTGAGATGTAACATAATTATGTTATCAAGCCTTAAAAAACAGGTTAGTATATAATAGTCCAAGAGCCGAATTAAAATTTTGTGACTTATTTGAAGAATTAATAAAAAAAATAATATTCATACACCATTATAAAGTCCATCCTCAACATTTAATTTTCACTAGTCTGCCAGTTCGAAGTGAGAGAAATTCAAAATGGTGGTCATTGAAGTGAAGACATCAATGTAAAATTTGCAACATTTGAAGGTCATTTGCTTCAAGCCAACATAAAACTGTTCATCCTTATGTGTCAAAAAAACATTGTTTACTGAATTCAGACGGGACAGTAACAATGGAAGATAAAATTCAAAATCCAAGTTTATCCTTCCAATAGTTCGTGCGGTTTTACATATACTAATAAAACAATAATTCCTATAAAGATAATTATCATAAGCTACTACATAGTTAATTATACCAGCTTTCATTTGAGCTATAATAAATTAGATATAATAATAAATTCAATAAGTTCAATATTTCTAGAGAAATGATCATTAAAAAACATTTTTTAAAACAATGAATCTCCATTTTGGGATTTTATTTTAACAAATATCAATAGAACTACTAAAACAAAGGTAATGATTAAAAACTGCACGTAGGAGTAACAGGTTCCATGATATTGGTTAAAATAAAATCTCATAATTGTGATTTATCTAGTTTTTTAAACAAGATGGTTTTTTGAAAAATTGTTTCTTTGGAACTATTGAATGCAAAATAGCTTTATCAGGACTCAAAACGAAAGATGATATTTTAATGAATGTACTAAGAAGTAGTTTATTATTTAAGTATCTTTAAAGCAATAGATGATTCCTTGATATTTGCAAAAATGCAAAATCGGGGGAGTAAAAATGGATCTTGAATTTTTTCTTCTGGTATGGACCCCACTAGTCAACATACAACGTTTTTTGGCATCTAAGGATGATGCCATATGAAACTGTAATGATACAATTTATGTTGGCCAGAAATAAGTGATCTAATGATACAGCTTTTACACATTTGGGTTCACTTGTTAAACGAGAACCATTTTGAAATGCTCTATAGAGATGACAGACTAGTGAAAATTGATTGCTCAGGATGGACACTATACTGGTGACTGGCTAAAAATATTTTTTTTATATAAGTCACAAAATATCTGCTCGGATCTTGGAATAATAAAAATAATAATACTTTATTTATTCTGGGACGAGTCCATTTAGAATAATACAGAATGACAGAAATGTAGGCTGAGGAGCCTCAGAGATATATAAATGAAAATACAAAGTAAATAAATAGTCATAATAAAAAAAATTATAAGTTAATTTCTAACTCTAATCAGATAACAAAAAAACAATGTCTACCGAGTTAGGCCAGTATAGCTTCTTCACCATTCATATTGGTTCCGCTTTTACCTATATCTCAAGGTCTACTACTACTAACACTACTTTTACAAAATCTCACCTTTTTTTTCTAGCTTTGAGCCAAATCGACCAAGCTGTTTCTGCTATGCTAGAAAATAAATTTGGGCAAATGCAGCCGGAAGTACTGTGCAGAATTTAATAAAATCTATATAGCTTCATTATTTTACCAATGCCTACTTTTCTTTCAATGTTGAGCCAAATCAAACAAGCTGTTTCCGAAATATTGGTGTACCTATACATTTTTGCATAAACAACCAGAAGTACTGAATAGAATTTTATGAAATTGATATAGGATAATCTAGACACCAACCAATTGAAAAATTCATGAAAATCGGATAAAAGGTAGTAGGTGGTATACCTGTCACATCAATTTGACTACAGACAGACAGAAAGACAGAAACCGAACCAAATTTGATCCTTGATATCTGAAACGCCAAACGTGAGGGAAAATTTTCAATTTTGAGCACAAATTTTTTTTTAACCTCTTGCATGAATACAAAGCTTTTCACCTTCGATAGTGAGGAAGCAAAATTGAAAAAACATGAAGTAAAAATAACTAAGGAGGATCCAATAAATTATATGCATATTTACAATAATATCTGAATGGGTAAGAAATGAATGAACAGATGAGATTTAAAGGTTGGGAGGGTGTTGGAGCGACATATGTAGGAAGTGATGGAGTTCCATAGCGAAGAGGATTGGATAATGAATGATCTGTCGAAAACAGCGGTTCAGTGAGCCCTTGCGTACAAATCTGAAGAATGGGAACTGGGTTTGTGAGAATGAACAGAGGATTTGAACAGAAGGAGCTTGGAGATGTATGATGGATGGCATATATGAATATAAAGAAACATTACTATTAATTTGTATTAGTTGTTAAAATTGTGTTAGTAATAAAGTACCAACTGCAGACTATAATGTGTAACTGAAGCACTTAACAACTTAAAGACCAGAATATTAATCAGAGATAACAATGATTACTTTGTTGCAAGTAGAAAACATTCATTGCTATGTACCCACAATAAGATACTCAGCTTCTTCAAATCTTAATACAAAAAAATAGCGATTTAAATTAGCAACATAATGGTATAGAAAATCAGGCTGGCAATGATTTTATTATTTTACACCAGAGATGTGCATATTTATATTCAAAAATATAATTATGAATACCATTTATATTTATGCCACTTTGGAATATAAATATGAATATATTTATATTCATAAAAAGAAACATGAACACAGATGAAACGTATTAACAGCAGTAAATATAAATACAGCCGTATTCACCACTTTAAAAGTGAATACGGCTGTATTTACAGTTGTGCAGGTAAATATTACTGTATTTACGTTTATTAAAATGAATACGCTTAAATTTACAGAAGTAGATGAAAATATTTTCACACAACCTTATGAATGAATACTCTTATTTATTAAATAAATATTAATTTATTTGTAACTTTATATATTTTCTGAAATAAAACCAAAAAGTATACAAAAATTAAAATAAAATTCTGTACAGTCAGGGGTTTATTAAATAAATTTCTTAAATAATGCTGGAATAATGTTAAAAAGTTGGTATTTGCTAACTTGAAATGATGTATACATAAACGTTTACTTTTATTAAACATAAAATTATAATTATTTATATGTCAAGATCTTAGGAGATTCCTAATTTTGTAAACTAAAATCAATTAAGGAAATTGGAAAAGTCGACTAGATGACTAAGGTAATGCCTAGATATACAGAAGTATTTTAACACACTCTACACTCTCACACACACACACGCACGCACGCACGCACGCACGCATGCATGCACGCACGCACGCACATGCGCACACACACGCACACACACACACACACACACACATATATACACATACATACATACATTTACATATATATTCAAATCTGTTCTCATTAGATCAATTCAAATCATCTTAACATATTCATAATTATAATTTTATTAAACATTTATGAATACATCATTTTGAGTTAGCAAATACCAACATTATTCCAATATTTTTTAAGATATTTATTTAATAAACTGTCCAGAACTTTATTTTAATTTTTGATTAACTCTTTTTGTTTCATTTTGGAAAATACCAAAAAGTAACAAAATAAAAAGTAACTTGGAAAAGTAACAAATAAATTAAAATTTATTTAATAAATAAAAGTATTCATTCATAAAGTTGTGTGAAAATATTTCCATACACTTCTGTAAATTTAAGCGTATTCATTTCAATAAACGTGAATATAGCTGTATTTACTTATACAACTGTAATTACAGCCATATCCACTTTTTAAGTGGTGTATGCGGCCGTATTTATATTTACAGCTGTGGATAGGTATCATCTGTATTCATGTTTCTTTTTATAAATATAAATGTATTGCTATTTATATTCAAAAGTGTCATAAATATAAATGGTATTCGTATTTTCGTATTTATATTTTATAACATAAATATGCCCATCTCTGTTTTACCCTGTAAACCGTACCTATAAGAATGAATTTTATGTAGTGGTGCATGTCTTAGGGAGAGGTGAGGGGAAGATGGCTTTTAATCCCACAATACTTAAAAAATGCTACCAAGTGAGAACAAATAATCCAGACATTATCATAAAATGGAACCAATGGCAATCGATAATCCAGAAAGGGGTGACCTTGAGAAATATTTTTATCAGCAGCAAGGTCTTTTTAGTGACAAAATGGACACTTCCACAATACTCAGTCTCACAACTTTATATACAGTTTAGAATACTTTTACTTACATCGCTTTGGCAAGGACATTGAACCATTACGCCCTTAGTAAGGCATTCAGGAAAGTGTAGTGAAGACAGTAAAAACATTAACTCCTACACTTTCAAGGAAGTCAGTATATATTGAGCATGATTTCCTCTTTTGATTATGAATCTTCAAAAAATCAGACAGAAACAGCTCGTGAAGATGAATGAATGTAAATTTTATTCTGGAACATATGGTCCTCTAAGCATAAATAAATACTCATAGGCCAAAAAATGTGGTTTTAGACCAGATATGTGTTTATAAAGTAATTTTTATGGAAAAACTGAGTAGGAAGTATTAAAAATAGCTTATTAATTTTTGACTAAAAATGGTTTAAATTATTCATGAAACAATACAGAAAAAATAGTTTAAACATTTTACTGATGAGAAGATTTTTTCATCTCAGTACTTCCAACCTCTAAAATAACTTATATTTTTTTTTTATAGGGGTATTATTTTTCTAAGTAAAATTTAAAATTTACATTTTAATATACTACAAGTAATATTATATTATACTATTATTACAAGATTTATAAAATTATATTATAAAATATTACTATATTTTTAATATACTACAAGGGAATAATCATATTAGAAAAGAATATACCTATGTTGATGTTTTGAATCTCTCATGCCATTACTTTCTGATTTTGACATATCTAAGCTATTTCGAGGAATCTGAAAAAATGGAAAAGATTAATAAAAATAAATATACTTGGTATTAATTTATTTAAATAGTGAATTGCGATATTTAAAAGTTCAGTTAACACATTGAAATTTTTTACATCGTTACCAAGTCAATGGAACCCACAATGAAATCAATTCTACTCAAATCCAACACTACTAAATATTTTGTAATAATAAAAACATTAGAACTATTTTTCTTTCTAACAATTTTAATACTTTATAAATATCAATTGAATTTGGCTCAATTAAATCAATGACTATAGGATGCATGGGAAATTAGATATTTACAGAAAACAATCTGCCACATTTTTTGAACTTTGATAGCCAACTATAACTTGAGAGGCAGCAATGAGTTTACATGGGAATTTTAGCAAACATTTAGAAATTAAAAATTAAAATTGGTCTCAATTTTCAACTATATATCTCTCATTCTGAAGTTTTACTTTTTTTCTACCTTATCAGAGTGAACTAATTGGTTAAACAAAACATTTGCAACTTACTTCTCTTTTCATGGCTCCAGCATAATCCGATGCTGAAGATGATCTCCTGCTGGTTTGAGGTGGAGGACGAGGTGGTGGTTGGGGTGGAATGCTAGGGGCAGTAAGCTGAGGTTCAGACTTCCAAGCAGAAGCATGCCTTTCGTAAAAGGAAAGTAGTGCTTTCTTCTGGATTGCTTTGAGAGAAGCATGGTCAGTCATTCCTCTCCTCTTATCTTCATTGTTTCCACGTCGCTCTATCTCACAAATTCTCTCAGCTACCGAGAGTTTAGGTGGTGAGCGATCATTACTTAAAATGTACCTAAAAAAAATACATTGTTATTCATGAGTTATTCATTTTAAAAGAAAAGATAGAAATAAATTTTTATTTAAATTTAAAAATAAGAAATTTCATCAAAGTTTCACATGACTTCTGGTAATTAGAAATATTAAAATCTTAAATCAGTGTTTCTATGACAACCAAACCTCAGGCATAATAACCATTCTCTGATAATGAGAATATCATTTCGCCCTCCCCCTCCCCAATAATCAATTCAGGCATGCACTCCTTCTCTTACAAGTTATGTTCTTTTCACCTTTTCAGCAAGTTGTCCTGCATTAACAAAGTTCATCACCTTGCCTCAAACCTTTTAAAACCATGAAAGCTTCAATTACTCCTTGTTTCAGGTTTTGACATTTAGTATAATTTGTCTACTCATTTGACAATGTCACGAATTCCAGAAAACTCTTAGTTCAGTCATGATCTTTCAAAAATAGTTTCTCTCCACATAGTCATAATCTGATTCAAAAGCAACAAATAAGGTGTGCACATCCTCAGCTTCTTCTTATCAGTTTTCAAGTACCTGTTATGAACCCATTCCTCTTCCATCTGAATTGAGCATAGTGAGTAACTAATATATTTTATAGTATGGAACAAAAAGATATGCTTTGCCTCTGTAATTACCACAAACTTACAGCTTTTCTTTAAAATAAGAAGAACTAGACATTTGTTCCTGATATCCTTCCTTCCTCCAATATTTTTTGGGTTAGTCTCCTAGCTCTCAGATATTCCTCCCCATCTTTGAACAGGTCTGAAGATACGAGCAGCAATTTCCAGATGCTATTTCTACTCCAGAATATTAATCTCTATTGGATCAAGGTTCTCAGGATGGTCCAGGTCATCTACCTTGTTTGCGGTCTTTTGCTTGATAAGCTGCTGGAAATGTTCTTTGCATATACTTAGTATCTTATCTTTCGATACCTTCAGTTTAGCATATTTGATAGCTTTTTACGTCTTGAATGGAGCTTTGATGACTCTTATAAGCCAGCACATGGTCAATCTGCTTTTTTTTTTCTTTCTTTTTTTTTACTGATAGGGCTTACTCCTCTTTTTTATTTGAGATTATGAGCAATCTAAAGCTGCATAAAGCCTCTGGGATAGAAGCAACACTGCTGAAATATGGTGGAGACAAACTATGGGATCAGCACTACCAGCTCATATATAATATCTGGTCAGAAAAAGAGATCCCAATGAAATAGAAAGTAGCTGTCATCTGCCCTATGTATAAGGAAGGTGACAAGTTCATTGTCTCCAATCACAGAAGAATTTCCTTGTTGAGTGTGGCCTACAAGATACTGTCTACTGCCAATAACTAGTGGCTTCCCGCTCATATGGAAAGAGAAATCAGGAAGTACTAATGCGGCTTTAGGCAAGGAAGGTCTACAATAGATCAAATATTTACTGTTTACCAGCTGCTGGAGAAGTCTATGGAGTACAATGTTGATCTGCATCACCTTTTCATAGACTTCAAACAGGCCTATGATTCAATGGACCAGCCAACATTGCTCAGAGTCCTCTTAAACTCAACCTTGGGTATTTCAAGGAAATCGACCAAGCTTGTAAGAATGACATTGGGAAATAAAAAGATGACGCGTGAAAATGCAGGGAGAGTTGAGGAGTTTCAGATAATGGCTGGAATCTTGCAAGGAGACACAAAGGCAACCACACTCTTTAATATGAGCTTGGAAAAAACTGAGAATACCACCAGGACAAATCTGGTAGGCACAATCTTTAACCACCTCACACAGCATCTTGCATATGCAGATGATGTGGAGATTGAGACCAGGTCCCTTCTAGCAATGGCAGGGGCTTTAGATGAATTTGATGCTACAGCAGCAGTAAGAATTCTGGGCATAAATGAAAAGAACACTGCCTACATGAGGATTAGAAGAGAGTCTGGAAAGCCACACTATATAGTGAGGCTGACATTGTCACCTTCATCAAGGCATCCCTTATAAGATGGCTAGACCATGTGGAGAGGGAAGAGTACCAAGAAAATTGATGTATGGACAACATGGAGGAGGAAGAAGAAGAGATAGGCCACTACTCCAATGGATAGATGATGTAGAGATGGTTCTAAGAAATTTTGGTTTCAGGCGGCAAATTTCAAACATTAAATAAAAAATTGGAGATATTCAGCAAAGTATTTTTTAATTATATTTTGTTACTATAACTATATCATTTTTACAATAGAGGCCTTCTTAAATGATTTCCATATATAATAAAGGAAGTTATAAAAAAAAAAAATAATAAATTAAAAAAAAATTGTTTAATTTTTTTGACAATTAAATTATTGCATTAATATTTGTTTGTTAATACAATCAATATAATGTACCAAAAACGTTATAGCACTGTAACCAAGCCATCTATGAGTACTGAATGGTGTGGTAGAGGCCTGTAGGAACCTACACCAGAATCGCTTAAGTGCATTTTCTACGGAACTGCTTCAAATATTTTAAAAAGTAATCATTGTTTTAGAAAGCAAAAAATATTCTCCAGATGTTTTATTTCAGCAAGTTTTGCGTTATTGTTGGCCGTTTAATTACAAACGATGTTTGATTTTTAACTTAAATTGTTTTTATTATTCTGACTATCTAGCTTAAATAAAAGACAAGCTATGACGAAATTAAGCCAAATGCTGATTCTCAGTGGCCAACAAACTATGTAAAGACAAAGTCCACCATGTTTGAACACCATTTGGGAGCAGTGCGTTCACTTTTTTTGTGGAGAAATTGGCTTTTTTCAATAAATAGTTACAAGGAACACAACGATATACAATTTATAGAGATGTGGGGTGGGGGTGCACAGTAGCTGAGTCTGGCCCACTGTGAATTATGTGTGACTTCACAAAACTGTAAGAGCTTGGATATGAAATTCTGCCACATCCATGTTACTCTCCAGACCTCTCACCTATGGATTATCATTTTTTTAGACACCTGAATCTCTACATTAGTGACCAAAAATTTAATAGATAAAGGGAATTAGAAAATGTGTTTTTGGAGTTTATCAATTCTAAACATGGAAAATTATATTATGAGGGACTGGAAAAATTGCCAACGATTTGATTTGATTAGCAGAAATGTATTTATAGTAACGGAAAGTATTTTGATTTAAAAAAAACAGCTGTAAATTTTTTTTTTCTTTTAAACCAAAATCCTACATTATTTTCTGGACTACACAGTATTATAAAAAGAACACATGTGCGAATACTTTTGAAATGTACCTGTTTTTTTTTTTGTTGGAAAGACTAAGATTTTTAATTGCTAATTTACAGTTTAATAGCTGTCTACATAAAAGATAATTCCATCAGAAAAGTTTTGTAATCATATTTCATTCCAATTTGAATGAATAGCCTAAACCAAAGTTTGGCTAGTGCAATTACTTTTGACTGTAAGTTTATGATTTATTATTTTGGTTTATTATTTTCAATAATCAACCATTGTGATCGACCAAAAAATTCAAAAACTTAACCCCCTCTCAAAATTTGAGGTTTCACGTTTCAGGATGCGTAGAATTCGAAAAACGAATAAAAATTTTTTTGTCCATCCGCCGTCCGTGCATTTTCTCCGAAACTACTGCACCGATTTTTTTTCAAATTTTGATATAAAATCAGAGGTCACCGGAGGATGATCCTCCTTCATCAACATTATTACCCCCCTTTTACTTTCAAAATGGCGGCCGAAAAACCTATGTTGCTATAGACTGGAGCTCCTAAACGAATGTATAGATTTCAATTAAACTCGCTAAAGTCATTTTCTCGAAACCCTTTAAATTTATCTATATAACACAAACAAAAAGAAGCTGGGAAAAAAGTTACGAGGGCTGGTAAAATTAAATTCCGAATAACTCGAAAAGTTTATACTTTTATGTGGATGTTGTGAAAAGATGTTTCAAAGGTATTTAAATTTCCTAAAAAGTGAAGAAAGTTTCATCGAAATCAAAGCTCTATTAATTAGTAGAGATATCGCGGTTTTCACATATTTTTGGTTTATTATTTTCAATAATAAACCATTGTGATCAACCAAAAGTTTATACTTTTTTGTGGATATTCTATATGGTTTTTTAAAAGTTGACAAAATTTCCTAAAAAACAAAAAACAAATTATTAAAATCGGAGAATTAGGAGCAAAGATATGGTCTCCGGTTTTTCTTTTATGTTCTACTCCAAACGTTATATCCTTGGTTTGGTTTTTAAATTTTGAATGTGTTACTGAAGTAATGCTATTTGTTTTAGCATATTACTATTGATTAGAAAAAAAAAGTTTAGTCCAACAATTGGAATCACCTTTTGTTTATTTTTCTTTGTAACTCAGAAGGCAGTGTTACTTTAGATGTATAATTGTTTGGAAATAATAAACCATTGTGAAATAATTTGCAGCGTTTTTTTTTAAATATTCTTTATTTATTTATTTGTTTCTAAGCAAATTAAAAAAATTAATATAAGTTAAAGACAATTTTTTTTTTAACAGCTATAGACAAGTAAAATATGTTATAACAGCTACGTTTCTTTATCAGCTTTAAAGAATATTAAATAATTCATGACAACTATTAGCATCATTTTTAAATTAAATAAATAATAATAACACTAAAATGTACAAAATTGTGCCATTACAAAGAATACTTTCAAATAGAATGTAGACTAGTCTGTGGGCCAGACCCCCTTACCGTGCACCTCCCCCCCCCCACATCCCTATAAATTGCATATCGTTGTGTTCCTTGTAACTATTTATTTAAAAAAAGCCAATGTTCCCACAAAAAAAAGTGAACGCACTGCCCCAAAATGGCATCCAAAGATGGCGGATTGACGACTTTGACTTTAGTTAGTTTTTTGGTCACTGAGAATCAGCATTTGGCTTAACTTCCTCATAGTTGGTCTTTTATTAAAGCTGAATAGTCATAGAATGATAAAAAATGAAGAAATATTAAAAAATAATTGGCTTAAGCTATGAAAAACACCAGTAAAGTCAATTTTTTTAACAAAAAAATTTTCAAGTTACAAATCAAGCGTAGTTTGTAATTAAATGGCCAACAATAACACAAAACGTGCTGAAATAAAACATCTGGAGAATATATTTCTCTTTCTAAAACGCTGATTATTTTTTAAAAATTTTAAAGCAGTTCCGTAGAAAATGCACTTATGCAGCAGAAAAGCGGTACTGGCGTGGGTGCCTACAGGCCTCTACCACACCATTCAGTACACATAAATGGCTTAGTTATAGTGATATAATAACATTTTTGGTACATTATATTGGTTTTATTAACGAACAAATATTAATGCAATAATTTAATTGTAAAAAAAAAATTAACCTCCTTTATTCCATACGTAGGTCGTTTAAGAAGACCTCAATTGTAAAAATGATATAATTATAATAATAAAACTTAATTAAAAATACTATTAAAAAAAATTAAAATTAAAAAATATTAGTTATAGCTCGTTATAGTTCAGAAATTGCGGAATAAATTGTTCGGAATTGGCAGAGCTTAACCTTAAAGTGAAGACAGTCCCAATTTTCAACTTCTCTTCCGATGTACAACTTGAGTTTCTCAATCCATATAGCTCTGCCAATTCCAAACAATTTATTCCGCAATTTCTGAACAATAACGAGCTATAACTAATATAAGATACCTTAAAAAATCTTTTGCAAATGCACTATACAGAAGGAGAACTGTCGATTGCCAGAACAATATGGATTGAGAAACTCAAGTTGCACATTGGAAGAGAAATTGAAAATTGGGACTGTCTTCACTTTAAGGCAGGTTATAGAGAAGTCCATATAAAAAGAAAAATAGCTCTCTATCTGCTTAGTGCCTCACACTTTGGATTATGCTAATATCTAATTGTCTTTCACAAAAGCGCGTTTTTCTTTTAGATTCCTCAAAAAATCTTTTGCAAATGCACTAAACAGAACTTCTTCTGTTTAGTACATTATAGCTCTCCAGCTATGAGCTATAACATTCTCGATATACCTCTCTATATCCTGCTTCAATTTGAAATTAGTCCCGATGTGCGCCTTCAGCAATCGAAAATAAAGTGGTTTTCACCATAATAAACCTACATCGTCCACTTAATATCATCCAAACTGCAATGGACCCTTTTTATCAGCATCTTGAAATATTCTGTTCATCTGTCTACTATACATTCATTTAGCTATATAATGGATACTGATCCTTTTTATCTTTTCCGATTTTTTGGCACTTCCTTTCGCTTAATGTATTTTTTCAATTTTCTGATTCAATTTCGCGTTATTCTTTATTTTGAGACCAAATCCAATCAATTTTGGTTTATAGAAGAACTTATAGCGTCACCCTTTCTATCTTTCTTTGTGCATAGAGAATAATTCATTCAATATTAAAATTTCCTATTTATTTATGATATAGTCCAACTTCTGCACAAAATAAAGGAAACAAAAATTAATTTTTTAATTAGAGATACATGACTTTTACTAAACAACCCGGTAGCTATTCATTATATATAGTTCAGATTAGGTATATATTATTTTAGTTTATAAAACAGGTATTAATATGACTCATTTTCTGGAAAGTATATACAAATTTTAATTACCTCTAAGAATCAGTAAATATACAAAACACAGTGTTAAATTGCAAACGTTAAATAAAAAAAAAATCAAGATATTTAGCAAAGTATTTTTAATTAGGTTTTATTATAATAATTATATCATTTTTACAATTGAGGTCTTCTTAAACGACCTACGTATGGAATAAAGGAGGTTAAATTAAAAAAAAAATTAAAAATTTTTTAAAAAATTTTAATTTTTTTTTTTACAATTAAATTATTGCATTAATATTTGTTCGTTAATAAAACCAATATAATGTACCAAAAATGTTATTATATCACTATAACTAAGCCATTTATGTGTACTAAATGGTGTAAAGGCCTGTAGGCACCCACGCCAGTATGCTTTTCTGCCGCATAAGTGCATTTTCTACAGAACTGCTTTAAAATTTTTAAAAATTAATCAGCGTTTTAGAAAGAGAAATATATTTTCCAGATGTTTTATTTCAGCACGTTTTGCGTTATTGTAGACCGTTTAATTACAAACTACGCTTGATTTGTAACTTGAAAATTTTTTTCAAGTTACAAATGAAAATTTTTTTGTTAAAAAAATTGACTTTACTGGTGTTTTTCATAGCCTAAGCCAATTATTTTTTAATATTTCTTCATGTTTTATCATTCTATGACTATTCAGCTTTAATAAAAGACCAACTATGAGGAAGTTAAGCCAAATGCTGATTCTCAGTGACCAAAAAACTAACTAAAGTCAAAGTCGTCAATCCACCATCTTTGGACACCATTTTGGGGCAGTGCGTTCACTTTTTTTTTGTGGAAGCATTGGCTTTTTTTTAATAAATACTTACAAGAAACACAACGATATGCAATTTATAGGGATGTGGGGAGAGGGTGCACGGTAAGGGGGTCTGGCCCACCGTGTAGACTATTTTCTTATTCAGACGCAGCTTAAAGAAACATCAAAAATGATCTTTTTAGTTTAATAAAATTAAAGATATTAATGAATCTAGAGTAGTTTCATAAAAGTAGATAAAGACATTTCATACCTTGGGGCTGTAGGTTCATACGTGCTGACTGGAAAAAGCCGCCTCATGTTGTTATTATTCACTGGTTGGGGCCATGGTTCAAGGTAAAGCACGGATTCCGAATGGTGTCGCTGAGGCATAGGAACCCTGGCAGAATGTGCTATGTGCTGTGGTGTGCTGCTCACATCAGAGAGAGACCCATGCCACTTTAGCGTCTCACTAGAAGAGCCGGAGCTAGCTGATGACTCCCTCCCTGTTTCATTTTCCCGTCGAAGTCTGGAAATTGAATCAAATAGCAACAATCATTATCTATGATGTGCTGATTGTAATTTTGTAAAAAAAAATGTATGTTTTTTTTTTGGAGGGGGGTGGGTTAATAAACAATATATATATCAACTGGTTATAAATTTATTATTATTAAATTGAAATGAAATTATCTTTAGTATTATTATCTGTCTAACAAAAATCATAATCTTATAATAAACAAAGAATACAAAAAAAAAGTTAAATAATTCATAAAATAAAACAAATCACATCAAATGAAAATCATTAAGAACAAAACCACAACTTAGAATTCAAAGTATAGACATTCAAATATAAATCTAGTTTTATTTGTCCAAAACATGAAGAAAAAACATTAACTTTAATGAGATACCTGAAGAATAGGATTAAACCTTAAATCTTAACCCAAAAGCAATAGGGATCCAAGATTTAATTTTGGGGTTCAAGGGGTCTAGTGATTCAGAATCCCGGGTAGCACTTTTTCTATTTATTAGGGTAACTATTCTGGAAGAAAAAGAGGGAAAAAACTACCTGTACAAAATAATTTTTAAGAGGTCGGCCCTTGAAGGTAGAAAATTAATTAAATTTCTTATATTTTTTTCTTGATACAAACTTTAGTAGCTGTGTATACATTATAATTTAAATAGAGTATCTGTTATGATTGGTTAGACCAGGTCTAGTGGACTTTGCATTATATGGAGTTAAGAAGAAATGTTTAGACACTAGCATCAATGCATTCACTGAGAGATGTCTCGACAAGGAGTAGGGCTGAATGTTTGTATCGTCAATCCCACTAATCCGTAATAGTTTCATCAATCTCATATTATCTTGGGCTAATACTTTTTTATTATTAATATTTTGGATCGACGACTGTGGGATATTACTTTTACACATGGAAGATAAATCTAAGATCACATATTCTCTTTAAAACTATTGTGAAAAAACAAAGGTCTGTGGCAAGTCAATCTATCTGGTATTTTTGATCTGGATGAAGGGAGATAGCTTTTTGATATAGTTGAGTGACAGAACTTATGACATGCAAAGATTATACGGGTTGTCAAGAAATCTAGTGAATACTATTAAATACATTTACCAATATCCCAAAGGGGATTGACACTCAATAATCAAATGTCACAACATTTTCAGTCTCTTTAAGAATTAAAGTTGGGAAATAATCTTATTCTTGTTGTTTTTATCCTTCATATGAATATTATATTAGAGGACTGATAAAGGAAAACCCCAAGGAGGGTCCTGGCATGGGTTTCAGGCACACTATCATTCATCATCTATTTCTTCTCACATTGCTGAATCGACCAGTAGCCAATTTCCTCATGTTTACCTTAGCATGTTATGCCTTCTGCCAATCAAGGTTAAGACTCATTGTTTTTTTATTGGAATGTCGATAGAAGTAGCATTATTTTAAGGAATATTATACATTCTTTACATTTTAGTTGCTGATCCAAGGCTCCCACTTACTGGTGCCGAACGGGGAGGCTGCCCTGGTTGCTTGACCCATTTTCTAGTTGGATACTAAAATTTAAAGTCAGTGCACTGGCTCAGGCCATGATATATGTGGATGACGGGGTCTGATAGTTGGTTCCCAGAAAGCTTTTCAGTCATCTTTTTTAGTGGAATAGGTTCAAGAATCAAATTTAAAAGGATTTTGGATATATCCAACTAAAAGCAGTAATGTGTGTTGGAAGAGATAATATGGATTCTGAACTTTATATGTCGGTAAAGCCCTAAGGCTACATAGGAAAATTGGGAACAGCAAGATGTATCATGATGGAGTTGAGAATACTAGCCAGAGTCAGAGACTAGAGGGCTAGGTAGACTAAGGATGCAATTTCACACAAACTTAACATAGTATATACTGAAACTTTACAGATAGACTTAACACAAATTATCAGAATATAGTAGTTATTCAAAACTTAACTTAACAGATAAAATGTATAGAAATATTAACTTTTAATCAAAATGTAAAAATACTTTACCTGTCCAAGAAGGGAGTGGTGGTGGTCGAGTCGGAACTGGACACATAGCTATGGTAACCCTCACTCTGGGCATAAGAAGGCTGCTGGCTATGAGATGGGGCCCTCACTTCTTCATATGCCCTTGAGTACTGCTCCAATTCAGCTCTTGTCAGGGAACTCTGAGATCCATCATAGCCCCCATCGATACTCAACTGAAATCATAATGGCATTTATTTTCATGAATTTCAAATAGATTTTAAAAAAATAAATCAGAAAAAATAGCAGTAAATTTTCATCATAAACATATCAATCATATAGTATTTTTAATTTTTAACAACCAATAAAATCTCAACTATAAAATCTTGCAATTTTTACCTCCATGTGGTGACATTGATGGAAGTAAATGCCAAAATAGCTGTAATGTAGCATAACTAATATTTTTAATAAAATTTGGTATTATAATATATTATTTTGCTTGATTAGAGATAAATTCGTGCATCTCAAAAGGTAGAAAAATGAATTTTTTCTAAAAAAAATGCCCTGTTTATTTATAAAATTAATTTAAAAGGTAGATAATGTGAGGTAGAATACTTGACATTTGGTCAGTACCGGCCTAAGGATCAGAGGTATGGGAGCCCCACATGGTATAAAAAAAGAAATAATTTTACCCTATTAATTAAGTTACTGAATTAGGGACATACAGAATGAAGTAAAATTCAAATATAAGATAATACACGATTTCCTCCATGACCCTCATCCTCTTCTCCTAAATTACTTCATTGTATTTGTGAAGTGGGGTTTGTGTCATTCATGGCGCAATTTTCTTAGTTCCAAAAGTCTAAACCCAACAATTATTGGGTATTGGTGTTTTTGTTCTAATATTTATGGTGTTGAAGTTTTTGTTATAATGCTTATGGTGTTGATGTCTAGAGTAAAATTTTTTGTTTTTAATAAAGGAGGGGTCCTTGCCAATACGTTTCTTTAAAATAGTCTTAATATATAAACTTGTAAAAACTTTATTAAATTTCTATAGAAACATAATAAACAGGAAATAATAAAATAAGTACTTTGTCTTCTGCCTATATTATCTATTTCTATTATTATCAAACATTCCAATTCAATTTACTTCTTGGACTTTTTAATGGAGAATCATTAACACTCATTTAAATAATTATTGTTTCATTGATGATTTTCTGCACAATCATCTGAAAATATGTATTCATTGATATCATTTAGAATAAATAAATTATTCCATCTTAATTTTTGAAACCAATATCAATGTTTAAAAAAATTTCCTTATTTGTTTAAATATTTATATATGTTTAAATATGTGCAAGGAGATTAATTATAATGACAAATACAACACATATTTATAAATATATATGTGTGTGTGAAAAAATGAGCGTTAAAACCCAAAGATGGTATTGCTCTGTACTTTGTAAGAAAGTGCTGTTTGTTGGTGAATGAATGTAAGAGAGGGTGAATTGGTGGAAATCATGCTCAACACATTGTATTTTCTTATTGATTAATCATTTAATAAACAGTATCAGATCTTACAGAGATTGGGTATGCTCCAGGAGGTTGCTCTCCGGAACCCATGGATGACCCACAGCTGAAGTAACAGAAAAAAATAATTACCTGCCACAGCCTCAATCGAACCTGGGATCCAGAGAATAGGATCATAGTGCCTTACCAATTGAAATATCTCGTTTCCCACAACACGAGAAAATGAAATGATTTACCTGTGAGAGACGGATCTCGGTGTACTTGGTGAAGGTATCCAGGTGCGAAGTGTCCCGCTCGGGTGGCGAGGGGATGGTGTAGTCGGGCTCACCCAGGCTCTTGCCTTCCCTGTCGACACCCGGCAGGAACTTCTCTCGCTCCATCACCGTCTTCAGCTGCAATGGAAATAATTTCTAGGTGTAATGATGCATATGCAGTTCAACTGTATTTATCAAATATAGAGTAAAATAATTCGTGTATATAAAAACTTCATAATTTTTTAGGGCTTCAGGAATTACTTTTTAATACTATTTGATCAAACTTTATTGATATAAATCTTTCCGATTTCCTCAAAAACATTTTAATAAACGAATCAAGATTTTTTTTTAATTGATATCGTCTGTTTTCCTGTGCTAATTATTTATTTTTCTCATTAAATTTGTATATATTCATATGACCGTAAACTAAGGCTTTAAGTTTTGATGGCAATTACAAATTATATATTTTAAATTTAATCTTTTGTACAATTTATACAAACAACTTTTATCGAATGAAAATTCAAGGTTCCTAAAGAAGTTCGATATCTAAATTTATTCGAGAACGTGCGTATAATATTGATACCATTTAAAAGCAAATTGGTTCTAGGTAAAGTTATAAAAGAAGAATAGTCAGAGAATATGGTTATCAGACCACATTCCAACAACTTCGCGAGAAAAAGTTGTCATTTAATTAATCTGTAACGGCCTAGTCTTCTGTACAAAAAAAGATATTATGTTTACGAGGTTTTAAGAAAATTTACACAGAACCCCTGGCATTATCTTTAAATTATGGGAGAATCTGATTTTCATGACACTGAGTGTTTTGACGGCCGGAACTCCCACACTAAAAAGTGTATTAAATGTGCATCAATTATATAATTTTACAGAGAATAAACTAATTACTGCGCTATTCTTTTATGTAAGGCTTTTGTATCCTCTTCTCTCCTACCCTTTATTGAAAACTGTTATCATGTTACACTGACCTTCGACCCCACCCTTCTAATATTTTCTAGTGCCAGCGCCTATAGTGGAATAGGCGGTCTATAGTGAGGGGAATATACTTTGGGAACGAAAGATAGCCTGCTAAACATACAATGCTGCAAAAAAATTTGAGCCTCAATATGTAGCTATTAGAAAGATTAGAGTTCTGATCGTCAAACAGAGCGCTGGTTTAAATCCGTAAATCGGTAGCGGATGACAATCATAATAAACCTCGATCTCCTTATTAAGGCTGGAAGGTTGGTACCCTGAACTGTAAATAAGGGCAGATGATAAATAGCATGGATGTTTAAAATTGATGGAAAATATTTAAGTTTCAAAAAAAGTTAGTTGGGGGGAGGGGAGGGTGCGGTCAGTATATAAAGTACTATATTACATTGTAGTATTTCTATTGAATTATGTAGTATAGTATATAAAGTACTATACTTTGACCGCACCCCACGTCTATCTTCTGAAATTATAATCTACGGCCAACCATCTCCACACCATTATGAAAAAGTTGAAGAGTTGTGATGGAAGACATCTAGCAATTAAATTAGTTTAGTTGCCAATAAGAGACTAATATTATCCGTTTTCCTTTGAGACACATTGTAATATTTCTCAATTAACAGGCTAAAATAATAATAATAACAATGATAAAATAAATAAATAAAACATATTCATACATATATATATATATATATATATATATATATATATATATATATATATATATATATAATATATATATATATATATATATATATATATATATATATATATATATATGTATGTATGTATAATATCCGTAAATAACATTTACAAGCGTTAATGACATCCGCAAAGCTCATTTATGAGATTATAAAATGTGTTCCTGAATAAAATAAAAAAGTGAAACTAATTTGTTTCTCTTGGCATGTCAGCAACTCATAGATTTTGTAGTAAAAACGCAACGATTTCTGCTGTTCTCATCTGGAAGGAATGCTGAATTCCTGGCTGATGATCTAAAATGCCTCTTAAAGGATAGAGAATACGGGGTATTCAATCAATCTCCAGTTTACTAGGACATAAGACGGTAATTAAATGCAGAGGAACTCTTGTGCAGAGGACGCAATGACTCAATCCTCAGGTACCCGGGGTCGCGGGAGGTCAGAGCGAACGGAGGGTATTGCAGTGAGTCATCTCCATCGCCTATCTCGGTGTCGTTCCATTTGTCACCCTCCTCTACATTGTTCTTAATAGCCTGTAAATAATGGTTCACTTAAGATTGCCGATCCTTATCCCCTGAAAGGAGATTATATCGCACTGAAAAGCAGAATCCAAGCATATGGTTGTTAAAATAATTTTCTCAATTATTAAAACTGAAAAAAATGGGAAGTTTTGAACTATTGCCAGCCATTAAAAAGTGTCTTAAAGACCTCCAAAAATAACTGATAAAGGTTATATACACTTAAGTGAATGTCACCATACAATCTCTTTTCGATAGGATAAATTGTATTCCAAAAAATAGACAAATTTTCATCGATGAAACCAGAAATGATCCGCGCGTAAACGATTAATAATTTAAAATTAATTACAAATAAAATGTAATTAATTAAAGAAAATTTTGAACAATAACTTTTTAATTAAAGCAGAGATATTTTTCTGGGTTCTGATTTGCGAATGCACAATCACGTATAATTATTTTATTTTTGAACCCATTAGATCCAACAGAATCACTTATAAAATTAATAGTCGTTGTATCTTTTTTACATAGCAAAATATAATAAAAAATAAATCCTAAATATCTTCTATGTAAATTCGCTTACACTTTAATGACAGGTTAACATTTGTTTAAAATTTGTTTTATGGGAACTATTTTATAAATTGTTCCCCAATTATGTTAGCTTTTATAAATGCAGGGATGCACAGAAGGGGGTTTCAAGATACACTTCGTGGCATCAGAATTTTTCAAGGGGGAGGGCACATTTTGACGGAGTTACAAATTTTCAAAATGAAAAGTTTCAAACAAGAAGAGAAGGAAAAGCATGAAAAATACTGCAGGATGTGTAATAGTATATAATTTACAATTTTAAAAATTCTACTTCCGCTTGCATTGCTTTTAAGAAGAGGATTGCAATAAAATATATTGGGAGGCTTGGGCGAAAGTTCATGCACCACTGTCTGTAAGGGGATAAGCATTCCTGCATAAATGTCTCATTTTTATAAAATGTAAATTGAATAATAACATAAGAAATGAACAATAAAACTTCTTATTAACAAAAAAAATCTTTATTAAATGAAATCATAATTTTATTTATCTGTAACCTATCAGCTTTATTTTAACCACTTTCATATGTAACATTTATAACTGTTCATCGCCTAAGTCTAGAATTTCAATTTACATAAAGAAATTTTACCTAAAACACAAATATATAAATATATTCTTGTATAAATAAAAAACAATACAAGAAAAATCAACATTTTTTATTTTAATTCGAGAAAAAATGAAATCTTAGGTAATAAACAGTAATAAAACATACTATTTATTAATTGTTAATTAACTAACTATTGTTAAAATAATGAGTATAAAATTTGTACGTAGTATTTAATATAAAATAAAAAGAAAAGTTTATTTTTGGTATGGACAGTTTATAATATACG